ATATTTTCATTGAATGTTATGACAAATACTTTCTAATAGTGTTCACACTATTTTGGTTATAATTGTTCTTAAAGCTGAACACTACTCGTAAATAAGCATAGTCCGCCATATTTCTCGTTCTACAACGCTCTCCCTACAACTCGTATATAAGGAGCAGATCGCTAGTCAGTTCAATGTATTTTACTATAGAGATCCGACGAGTGCAGACGTACATCTTACAAAGCGTGCTACTCAATATCGATGAAATTATAAAATTTTACGTATTTTTTCCAAAACAGGACAAAAGTATCATGGAAAATACAGGTCAATACATTATTTACAAACAGAAAATGCACATAAAAACAAGAAATAAAGGCAAAAAATCTAAGACCACGATAGGAGTACTACATGTCGACCACGAGTTTCGAGTGTGCAATCGGGTGTAACAAAAGCGAACGGTTTATATACCCGTCTGGCAGTGCCTATTTATGAGAAGTGTTCAGCTTTAAAATACAAAAGTAGGAGGTAGTATTTTTGTCAATTAGTCTGGTCCTGATTTTTAAAAAGAAGGCTGGAAATAACTTCTAACGGCAAATAATTATTATTTGGACCAGCATAGTTTTTTAACCTAATTCGAGTATGCTGAATCCGGAAAAATATGCTGGCCTTCATGAAAATGACGTTAAAGAGGTCAAAATGGCGATTCAAAATGGCGGAAATCCAATTTTTCTAATTTTCTCTTAATGTCGTTCAAAATGGAGAAGTAATGAGTGAATGTCTTACTGAGTGTAATAAAACTATTAAAAATATAATAAAATGCTAACATTATTAGTTTAACTCTGAAAATTTAGCCGTTTTTACACTTAATTCGAATTTTCTCTGATTTGAAAATTTGTCTATTGTTTTTATTTGTTATTGTTTCTTTCTTCTTTGTTCAGGATTTTACATTTGCAAATATTCATACACTGCAGATTTGTATTTTTTTCTCTACATCTCACTATTCTACAATTGAATGATGGTGCAGCTGTAAGTTAAAAATCAAAACGGCGATTCAAAATAGCGGATATTCCTTTTTTTTCAAATTATTTTTTAATTTCGTTTACATAGGAGAAAAGATTTTTTGTGAATATCTTATTGAGCGATGTACAAGTATGTAAAATTCCAATAGAACACTAGTATGATCACTTTAAATCGGAACATTTAGTCGTTTAAGTTTGAAATGTTTTTTTTTAGCTCAAAATGACAATTCGAATGACGTTTTATACACTCGATTTCGTAAAATACCCAAACTGCTTAATTCTAATTTGTTTTGCAGAAAATAAATAACAGGTTTTTCTTTATTCATGAATTAATGTTCACATATATATGTAATGAAAGTTAATGGATATTTTCATTAATGACTTAGGATTTTTATAAAACGGATTTTTGTTTAATTACTTCTATTATTAAGATAAATTTTTGACGACAATTCCGAAGACATTTCACCTATTATTCGTCATACATGCATCATGCTTCTTCATATAAAAAGTTAATAATATCAGACAATAATTGCTGTTTTGAGGACAATATGAAAATTAAGCTACCCCAAGAGCAGTATTCACCGAGCATTAAGGCGAGTGAACATTGTAGTTCGAGGGTTGCTAAATCATATCAGTTGTTGGAAATTATTGATCTTATTTTAGTCCAGTGTAGAAAAAAAATGTTTATGTTCATGTGGAAGATCTAGTGCAACATAACTTAGTATGATTTTTAATTAGAGGGCTATTAATTGTTACATCATATAAATCTGAATATATTATAATATCCAAACATAAACATATTTATTAAGAATTATCAGTATAATATACGTAAACCATAATTTTTTTCGATTGTCCAGCTCTGATTCTGTGTCCCTACATTTGCATTTTGTTATTCTCAGTCAAAAATTCAACTGCATTCTCAAATATTTCATAGTGTGAACGGTTCTCCTCCACCAATTTTGTATTGAACAGTGTATATAAATTTTAAAATTTTGAAATTTACAAAATCTGAAAGAAGAAAATGTTTGTGTTCAATCCTCCCTTGATTCTTGATACAACTTTACACTATCCTAACGAAGAAGTGTGGATCAAGTTGCCTTGTAAAGTTCTTGGAGTGTTCAAGAAAATTTTGTTGTCAAGAGAAGTGTTGACTAGATCGAAGTCAAGAATGGCTTAGGCCTATTGGTACGAAAGCTTGTAAGTAATAGGAATCACGAGAAATCCGCAGGCGCTATTAAATTGCATAATTTTACAACTTTTCTCACCAAAATATGCACACAATGTGATTCCAGATGATGAAGTTTGAGAATTTTCTTGCTAATAGAATGACCTTTCTTCCCTAAAAGAAAACAAATCTATACGCGGTTACGAAATACAGAGCTACATGTCTTGAATATCAGAGATTTTTTTTATACCCCCCCCCCCGATTGAAAAGCGGGAGTGTATAGAGTAGTCGGTATGTCCGTCCGTCCGTCTTTTACGCTTTGGGGTACTCGTCTCTTATCCGCAACTCGTCTCATACATGTACCACTGAATGAAATTTGATAAACTTTCACAGAATCTTTATTACCTATTGCCATTGTGCACCTCCTCTTTTACTTTTTGATCCAACAAATATTTTGGGTTTCACATAGCAAAACATGGACACTGTGTATTCATATGGGTGACGGGGGTATCATTTAATGAGCTAATTGCTCACAGTACCTCTTCTTCATTTTGCATAAGGTTTTGGAAAACAAAATAGACTTTTAACTTTTGAACATATATGTATTGTTCCTTGAGTGTTGATTAATTGTATATTGTTTAACGCCGAGTCGGCTATTTTTCAGCCATGTTTCGGCGGACTATCAGTTTAAATAATCGGGTTTTGGAGGATTTTGGTTTCTCTGGTGGCCCCCTGTGAGCTTACTCTTTTTCGAACTCCAGAGAAAAGATCTTTTACGTGCCAAGTGGGTTGTCATCCTTGACACAGGGCACCGTTTTACTTGAGTGTTGAAAATACTAAAATTCCGAAGACAGAGTGAAACATATAAAATGAAGCTGGAATAGAAGATGTTAGGGGATAATACTAAGTTCTTATAAGTGCTAAAAATTCGATGAAATTGGAAAAAAAATTCCTCAGTTATATTTGATGGTGTGCTGAGGGATGTTGAGGTAGAAATGCGAGTTGATAAAGACTGGATTCAGGAGTGATTTTAGGTGGACGGGGACTCAAAGGCTTTGGAACACGGTCAAATACGAGGGGGGAAATTTGGAAACTCTTAAGTCGAGTTTGTTTCAACTATTTCCAGAAAAAAATGAATCTTTTCTGATTTTTTTTGTTTGTTCATATTTAATGTTATAATCAATATACTATAATTATATATAAAAAACAAACTGTAATTTATTTTCAAATTTAAGCAGTTTAGTATCTTACGAAATTCGAGTGAATTTGACGTCATTTTGAGTTTTTAGCTAATTAACACATTTAAATTTAAACGACTAAATTTTCCGTTTTAAAGTGTTCATATTAGTGTTCTATAAGAATTTTACATTGATTAATTGTACTCGCTCAGTAAGATATTCACAAATCATTTCTCCTATGTAAACGACATTAAGAAATAATTTGGAAAAAAAGGAATATCCGCCATTTTGAATCGCCAATTTGACTTTTAACTTACAGCTGCACCATCATTCAATTGTAGAATAGTGAGATGTAGAGGAAAAAATACAAATTTGCAGTGTATGGATATTTGCAAATGTAAAATCCTGAACAAAGAAGAATAAAGAAACAATAGACAAATAAATCAGAAAAAAATCGAATTAAGTGTAAAAACGACTAAATTTTCTGAGTTATACTAATAATGTTAGCATTCTATTATCATTTTTATACTTGTATTACATTCAGTAAGATATTCACACATTATTTCTCCTTTTTTAACGATATTGAGAGAAAACTAGAAAAATTGTATGTCCGCCATTTTGAATCACCATTTTGACCTCTTTAACGCCATTTTCATGAAGGCCAGCATATTTTTTCGGATTCAGCATCCTCGAATTAAGCTAAGAAACTATGCTGGACCAAATAATAATTATTTGCCGTTAGAAGTATTTTTTTCTATAAATCGTACCAGACTAAATCATCTAGAAATGCTCGAAACTTACCACGGAAAGTCTTAATTCAAAGTCGTGTTTTAAATGGTCCTGTATCATGGCTACAGCGCGTTTTTCATACTCCATAGCCTCGGTAATTGAAAATGTTTCGTCGTTGGCTACTTTAATTTCCCATATATCTGTCAATCTGTCTATAATGATAGAAAAGATCAATAACAATTAATGCATTATTTCCTCTAAATCTAAAAAAGTATGTATTTTATTTCATAACGTTAAGTGCGAAGAATAAGTTAACCTAGGGATTGTAATTTAGTATAAATTTTCAATAGTGAGCCTATATTAATACGTCTGTGTCAATTTCCGCTACCCTTTATAATTTATACCAAACAAATAAAAGACACGGCATATATGTCGGTTTTCTGTCTACGTGGGCAGTGCAAACATGTGTGCAGAAATTAGCATTAAGATAGAGAGAGAAAATTACATTCTCATGGATACTACAGTAACTGAAGAAAAAAACTAATAATCCTACCGAAAGATCAAAAGATTTTTTTCCTTTACAGAATAGCAAATGAATGAATTTTTTAACGCCTTATGTCTAAAAACACTATTATTGAGTTGATACTTTGGATACACGTCTCTCCGGTAAATCCGACAGTACATATGCACTCGGAGGTCCATGTGTCTCCGGAAACTGTTACTTTACACTCCCCATCATGCTGACAGTAGTCCAAACATACCGAATCTTCATTACAACTATCTCCGGAACAAGATTTACCCAACACTCGCCGACCTGAAAAGGAAAGTTTTAAGCTCAGCTTTCACAATTTTTTATCAGTGCAATTCTATCTTCATGCAATCTATCTGTAACGATAAAACTCGGGAACAAAATTAATGCAATTAGGTTAGGTCAATTACATGTACTCTAAACCAATGGTGCAGACGAAAATAAGTGATTTCTTTTAAGATTCTATTCTCGAAATGTTTAAATACAAACAATATTTAATTACAGTAAAATAAGTCTGAAATTTTTTGTGTGGATATAGTCAAGGTAATATAAGCACACTTTTTTGTTAGATTTAATTCTTTATTTTATTAAAAAAGATCTTTATAAAATCATGGCTTACATGTATTTCAAGAGAAGAATTATAGTTGAACATAATTACGCATCAACAAAAACTATAAAACTAATTTTTCGCATGTAATATTGTAAAAACAGGAATATAAAGATTTACACACGTTATATACTTGCCATTGTTGGATATAAATATTCTTACCTAAATCTGTAATGAAAAACACGTAAATGGTAATCCACATTACGAAGGTAAACTGAGTTATCTAGAAAAAAAGTAAGACGAAACTTTGTTTTAGGTACGAATCCTTGTTTTATAATAAGATTTTACTTAAGTTTTGTGACAGTTTTGGGTAATTTCCTCGTGCCACATATATTTTTTATTAGATTTCTATCCAAGTACAAGTCAAATAAAGCCTTGCAGCTTAACTTACTATTCACAGTCTAGTTTAACTGTGGATGGGGAAATGAAATAGATAACATCATTTCTAATTAAAAGTTATTACAATGTTATCTTTAACCATAAGCATACCGCCATTTTAACGTCCTTTGGATAGGGGGTCTTCTTTGCCCAACCTGTCTCAGACGCAGTTTTCATACAGAATAAACATTCAACGGCTCCATAGAACTGTTAGAATGTATTGAAATTTTAATTTTTAATGACCGTTTGACTACATTTATAGATCTCTTCGCAGAAAAATAGAAAATTAAGGTTTACAAGATTTTTTGTTTTCTATCCCAATAGGGAACACACAGTTTTCATTCCATTGTATTTATTTATGTATGCAATTCCGATTCGTTTTTAGCATCATTGTACCATTCTTCAATAGTTAAGTTTGTTATTCATGAGCGCTTCTTAATTCACGACTCGAATTCATGCATGCACTCTTTAGAGGCTTTCAATTACTTTTATTATTATAATATATGTCCTGGAATTTAAAAAAAAAGTTTTGAGTCACTAGGTCGGGAGAGAGCAATTAAACATTTTTTAAAAGATCTGGCTATACTACATTTATTTTTATAGTTGTAATGTTACATGATATTTGTTTACCAAATTAGAAATATGATTAACGCAACGTAGAACGTGAGCCTTGGCATACGGATAATATGCTATCATTAAAATTATAAAGATATTTAGTCTTACACTGTAGTTTATCAGTCGATTTTATTGAATAATTGTAGTTTAACACCTAGTACAGTTGAGATTACTTAATTGTACCCAACTTGTTGCGAAAGAGTATCATAATAATGTTTTGACTCGTTAGACAGTAATCAATCAGTTCTGTTCTTGTTTGTGTGTTTGATCAGCTCGGCTTCTCTTAAACCGCTGCACAGAATTTCATCAAACAGATATTTAGGACAAAGAATATGTGTACATTTGGCAGAAAATTTCCATTCCATTATTTTCCTGGGAATTCTATAGAGATAAAAGCCATACCATATGTCATATCAGCCCGAGTGGCCCCAAATCAGCCCGAGGACTGATGTGACACATGATATGGATTTTGGTATGTAGTATTCTATTTATCATACATTGTATTTTTAAAATATGGTACACATATGGTCATTGAAGTATGTTTTGTGCCTATTTATGACCTTTCGTTGAAAATCTAATAAGGCCAATTTTAGGTACCTGAAAAAAAATAAGACCGCCAATGTCAATAGGCCTTTAAAATTATTTTACATGAATATTTAAATAAAATCAAGTAAATCAACTTTTAAACTTAATACAAATGTTACTTCCGGTTTGATATGAATTTTCTGCCCGCTGGTCCCATACGTGATATGGATTTTCGGACTGGTGTCGCATATATTTGGTCCGCCTCGTTAAAAGGGGGAGGAAATAAGCATCTCCTTCAAAATTACCTGGTTTTAGAACCCCTGTCAATCATCTGAAATTAAGCCTGGGATTGGATACTTTGATTTGATTGACATTTAGTTTTCTGTCGTTGTGTATATCTTGTGTACGTTGTCTAAAGATCGTATCGACCATCGAATTAACATTCAGGCTTTTGATGCCTACCGCATCTTCCACCTAGTGCCAACGTAATAAAGAAGCAATCAAAGCGTTCTTTTTTAATTCATAAGGAATATGCCATAAATATAATCAATCTATCAAATAATTAAATAAATGATAATAAGAAAAAGCATGTCTTTATATTATAATTTTAAAAGGGGGATTTCATTTCACGATTACAATCGATAATTTTAAATTCAGTGTCAAAACATGAGTAAACGTACATTTATTCCTCCATTAATTAACAAAATAAACCGACCTGCGTTTCAAGATAGTATCAAGGAATTAAATAAAATTATTTTTTAAACAAACATGACAACATTGTAACATTGTTCAGGAGTCAAGTGAAAATTAATATTTACAAGACAAAACTGTCCGTGTTGCTTTTCTCCGAGACATGCAATATGGTGACGAAGTTACGATAAAATAACCAGTTTTATAAGAGAAATTACACTGACTATATAACATCTTGCTTTGCATTAAATATTTGAAATTATGATTCCCGAAAGAAAATAGTACGATGCAGATGATTCCTTTCCAGTTTCACCCATACCTTTCGGGGAATTATCCCCAGTCCGAACCCCTGGCCATTTTTACAGACCATGCGTCTTGGAAAAATCAAGTGGGGTTTATCTTTAGAAATATTTATTTAGACTATATATTATTTCTATTTCAACTGTTTATTCTCAAAACATTGTTTCTATGTTTAATTGTTATTTACCGAGAGACTTAACTTACGATCCACTTTCTTAATTCTTTCGTTTTGCGTACATGACGTCTAATATATAAATATTACATGTAGTTGAGTGTAACATTGAAAATTTTCACCCCAAGAAAACCATTGTCAATCGAGGTGTAGAATAAATATTTAATAAAAGAATGCATTTTCTAATCATTTGGATTCAAAAGGCTATGCTGCATGGCGCGGTGCAAAATGTAGAAAGTAATCCTTGTGTGAATCGCAGTTGTAGCATATTCAAAACAGTATTTAACTTCTTGAACAATTTTTCAATTTTTATTCACCATGCACTTTCATCACGTCGTTCTTATCCGGCAAATCATGACGGTTTCCTTTCGTATCTTACACACTCCAAGGATGGGGATTACCTATTGTAAACTATTTTTATTTAACCCTAATTAAATTATCAATAATCTGATGCGAAATGGTAATGTAATCGAAACATGATAACAATGATGAAAACTTAATTTAAAATTTTTAAAATATTTTACTCATGATTTTATACGTGCTATCATTTAAGAATTATTTTATTAAACTAATAAAAAAATGACATCTCATTTCCCCATGTGCACTTTCTAACACAACTACAAATGGATCGGCCGCTGCTGCGGTCGATAACAAATCATCGTCGCAGTTTTGTCATTAGCTATTCATAGCAGAGGCTTGAAATTTTATTGCACTCTTTGTTGAGGCATGCCATATGGTGGGATTAATTTTGATATGAATCTGATGTCAACTTCATATTTTTCTCTGCCTGTAATTGAACTTGTGTATATTAACATGATAGTGCTTATTTACATCAGAGCGGGGGTATTACTACTGAGCATTGGCTCACAGATTTCTTGTTATTATTATTATTCATCTTACAATATTTCTTCATTTAATCTAAAAATAATCTTGCTTTACTTTGAAATTGAATACTTTATTAAAACAAAGAAATACATTTTTCACCTTTTGGTGTACCCTTTCATTTGCTAGTGCCAGGGATATAAATCTCTGAATACATGTACGGGACATGTCTTTGAATCTTCTTTTCATAAGGATCCCATGCACAACGCTACACTCTGGAATTATTTCTTTATAGTGAACCACACTTCGTTACTTTTTTGAACTTGTCGATGCTGAGAGCAGCACATCTAAAAATAATGGATTCAGTTCCACCATTTCTCCTACAACACATGTCCAGTCAAAAGTAAATGCAAAATAGCCAGTGTCATTTATGTAGCTCATTCGTCTCTGTGTAGAGTATTTCGAGTCGTCCTATTTGGGATATAAATATTTTCCAAATGTTTTGCCCGATATTTTGAATACTGTTTATTTTTGGCCAGTATATTTGAGGGTTTGCCATTAAAATAAGGATACTATTAGGTCCGTAGCATCACTATGATTGATGGGACTAGTGTCAAATTTATGAGCTTTCAGATTCAGGCATATCAAATTCTTGGGTCTTCTCTGCTTCTAGGCTTTAAAAGTAAATATATACATTTGTGGTATCTTTCCATTATATAAACATATAGAGCGAAAATATCTTCAATTCTGTATGAAGTTTGTCAGAGGTCAATACTTGGCCGAATCACACGGCGCAATAATATCTACCCTTACTTTTAAATATAAAATGACTTGTTTTACAATAGTCTTCATGTGTAATAAAAATGAACAAAATAAACAAGCGAAATAATTGTTTTATTTACAACGTAAACATGTACTTCATACATTTTTTGGCGATCGATTTAACCTGTGTACATAGAGAATATACCAGTAGAAACTATCCTTTGTTTACAAGTTGTATGTCACTTTTGTAAGCTGCACAGTCTCTAACTTTTATCCTCATTTTTGTTAGACTCTATGTTAAATCTTCATGATATAGGCTGAAACTATATTTTTTCAATAAATTCTACTCACGATAAATGTGTAAATCTATTTGAAAATATCAAAGCATTGCAATCACGCCACAAACAGCTGAGAAACACCTCGATCGACATAACAATGTAAATTGTCGCCAGTGTCTCCGTGTCTACATAATAAACATGCTTTAAGTTACTAAAATCGTAGAATAAATGCTTTTGATCAAATTTAATACTTAATTGCATATTAACTGGCTCGGTCAAGTACCTCAATCCATCGGATTCATAAATTCCTTTCAAGCGTCCGAAATTCCTTCAACTTTTTATCGTCAATCCTCGGACATGTTTCTTGTGTCTTTTCAACATTATTTATAAATTTTTACAAATAAAAATATTCCGAGACAAGAATATGTTAACTATTACTGATCACAAGTAGCCTTTAACAAAATATTCCCTTCCAAAATAGAATTCTTAGCCTTACGAATTCAAAGCGTAACCGCCTTTCAAGCCGATTTACACCTTGCGTACTTTTGACGGAAATCTACGGCGACCGGTTAGTGCAATATTTAAATCCGAATATATCTAATTTAATATCTAATTGTCCATCTCAAATGTATATATTAGTAATAAATAGCAAGTTTATAAACTTCAATGGGAATTG